CCCCAGGAAATTCCAATCCCTTCTGTGGGGGAGAATGGATATTTTCTGGAACTGAACAATTTAAACAATATCAATCCACATACACTTGTTGGATATGAGATGATTGTAGCCTACAAGGCGTGTAACGCTGAGGTGGCTGTCAAGGACAGTAAAGAGATGTGTTATTTTCTTGCCTGTCAACCGAACACCAATTTGTGAATGTACAAGTTTATTAGTAAGGACATTTACACTTCAGGCTAAAAACCTTTAATTAATATTTGAGACAAATACCTTTAATCTGAAGAAGATAGTTTCTCTCAGTCTTCTTCCTACAAATAAATGAAATACAATTAAAACATAAAAGTTTTTAAAAAACACCTTAGAGGAGTAAAAGGTTATAGAAAAAGGAGAGGTGGCAAAACCAATTAGCAACAGCTGGTTTCACCAAAGGAGGCAGTGAATGAGAAAAAATACAAATTAAGGCTGTGGTGGAGAACTGTGTGAGATAGACAGAACTCTCAAGTGTTCTAGATAGTCTCACCAACAAAACTCCCTGTTTAACAGTAAATTTGCAATAATAGGCTATCATGTGATTGGATAATGTAAGCTTAAATGATATGAAGTGTTCAAGCCTTTTGGATTTGTAAAGTGAAGACAGTTTTTCCTCAAGGCAAACAGGTATTTCTGGTTAAATAACCTGTAACCTTGACTTCTACTAATAAGTCTCTATCACGGTAAAATATGGCGGAGGTGCGGTGGCCTCATGGTTAGTGTGCTTCTCTCTTGATCAAGTGGTCCAGGTTCCAGCCCTGGCCAGGGTCACTGTGTTGTGTTCTTGGACAAGACACATTACTCTCACAGTGCCTCTCTCCACCCAGGTGTACAAATGGATACCGGCGAATTAAATACTGGGGGTAACCCTGCAATGGACTAGTATCCCATCCAGGTGGGAGAAGAAACACTCCCAGTCACTTCATGCCACAGAAGTCAGGATAAGATCTGGCCTGATGGCCCACTTGGCTCGTATGCAGACTTTTATGGTGAATTATAATATACTGTAGATAGGACCCTGCGCACACTCTGATTGGTCAAAAACCCATGTTTTATCAGAGTATAAAACATAGAAAAAGCATGCTTTATTGTTTTTCACCACATCACCTCTATATCATAAAGCAAATGAAGGAGCCTAAGCTGTGTATTACACTGTAATAAAACATTCCAGACATCTGAGAACACTCGAGAAATGTAGAAAACACGTGCCTGCAGCTTGTGTTTTCTACATTTCCCTCGTGTTCTCAAATGCCGTAGTGTTTTATCACAGTGTAATACACAGCTTAGGCTTCTTCATTTGTGAATTATATAAATTTTATAAGTCAAATTATTCCCACATTTTGATTGGTTCTTACTTCTGATCTACTGGAGGACAGATGCACATGAGGGTGTTAGTCTTGTTTTTTTTTTTTTTTTTTTT